AAAAAAAGAGTTTGTGCTTTGTTTCAAGGAAACATACGTAATGGTTAGATTATGGAAGACTCTTAGGGCTTCTAAATTTGATCTATAGTCCGTAAAATTATATAGCTCAGTGCCTGAACAAAACAGGGGTGAAACTTAGGCTGACACCGTGATCCTTTCTCTGGTTTAGTGAGTGGAAAAGCAAATGTATGGTTGATGCTTCTTTCTTTTTTGTGCTTATTGCCCACACTGTGTGTTATCTGTGGCAGCATGACAGCGACATATCAGCTTATACTTATGAGCGCACCCTGATGATGGAGCAGAGGTCGCAGATGCTCCGGCACATGCGACTCTCCAAAACCGAGCGGGACAGAGAGGTGAGACCTTCCTGTATCCATTGAATCCTGGCCCTGTGAAGTCTGTCACTGAAAGGGATGATTCTCTATTGTTCTCCTAGAATGACAGATTCTTTCCTTCCCACTATTGTTTGAAAATAATTGAAGCTGAAGCATGAGAGAGATTTGGTATAGTAGTCATAACTGTGTTGCGCCCTCCTCAGGCACAGTTGGTGAAAGACCGGAACTCAATGCTGCGATTGACCAGCATTGGCTCTGATGAGGATGAAGAGACAGAAACCTATCAGGAGAAGGTGCACATGACTTGGACAAAAGACAAATACATGGCATCCCGGGGACAAAAGGCCAAGTCGATGGAAGGATTCCAGGACCTGCTTAACATGCGTCCGTAAGTTTTCCAAGTCACAAGCTTTTCATGTAACATGGTATCCTAGTCTGTAGCACACATGTGACTTTGCCTGGATACATGGGACAAAGTCTGTTCTTCCTTTCACCCCAAATACAGCCATCTCTGTTATTTCCCTGTGCACACCAGCTACCAATTAACATTGTACACAAGCTAACCACCCTTCCTCCTCACTGTGCTGTGTTGCTGCCATTATACAAGCAAACGTAGACTGAGAAAACCCAGGATGTTAATATAAGGAAATCATTTGTTCATTACATTATTCGTAGCCAGTGCAAAAAAGCTCTGTATCTCCAGGTTTTTAAAGTTGACTATATGTCTAGCTTTCTCTTTGCCTTAACTGCCTCTATTTCTCCTTCTACCTGCCCAGGGACCAGTCCAATGTGAGGAGGATGCATACAGCAGTGAAGCTGAATGAGGTTATAGTTAACAAGTCCCATGAAGCAAAGCTGGTTTTGTTGAATATGCCAGGGCCACCTCGTAACCCTGAGGGTGATGAAAACTGTATCCTTTCCAAGAGTGGCTTTATCAGTAAGGAAAATCTTAGCCTATTAAAAGTTTTAGGCAAGGATTTTTACAAAGTAGTGAGATTAATCTCTCTCCTTTTGGGGAGTTGGGTGTATATTTTCTCTCTGAACCCTAAAGATACTTTATAGGTGGTAAATTTGCAACATGATTTCTAATATTCATGGTATAGAACCTTTTCTGAGAGTATAGATACAGAATCCTTTCTCCTTTTCAGGCTCTCCCCGCTTTGCAAACCTCTTGTGGATGGAGTTAGGGGAGAAGCAGTTGGAGTGGAACCTCCTCTGAGGGGAAAAAAAGAGATAAGGGTTTTCCTCAGACCCTCATCCCAAGATTGTTTTTATGGGCCCCTTTCAGAACTGCAATGGTGTAGACTGGCCCATCTGCACCAGTACCACTGAGCAAAAAAGATAAAGAAAAAAGGAATGGGCAGAAAAATCTGACTTGAGCAGCTTCACTTAGAAATGACTTGGGTTCTCTCTAGCAGTCCTCTAAGCTGCCCTTTGGTGGCTTTTTCTTCTTTTTTGACTTATTTTGCTATGTGGTACGAACACGTTATATGTGGTTTTCCCCCATTTTTAAATAACATTTAGGAAAAAAATCTAACAAATGGAAGTCTTGTATTAGGGACTGGATCCCTGGGTTATTTCACAGGGTTAAATCGACTTGAGTTCAGACCTCTCCAATTCTGAGTATGTAAGTGAAACAAGCATGTTGATTTTGCAGCTTTGTAGTCAGATAAACCCAGATTATCATGTCAGGTTATAAACGTGTGCTTTTCCCCACCTGTTTGTCTCCTTGACAAATTTTGAAGACATGGAGTTCCTAGAAGTGCTCACCGAGGGACTAGAGCGAGTCCTCCTTGTCCGAGGTGGTGGCAGTGAAGTGATCACCATTTATTCATAATCTACTCCTGAATGACTCTGCTTGGCCTCACCTTTCCTAAAAGGCTTCCATCCTTCATGGAAGTGCCAGCTCTTTACTACTACTCTCTCAAGTAGGCCTGGGTTCTGACACATTACACTGAACTCTTGACAAGCTGAGCCTCAAGTACTTGTGCAAAAAAAGTACAAATCTGCTCTTTGCTATCATATGATCTGCCATCCTTACAGAGGAAGCAAATAGTTCCGCAGCATCGGAACACTGGTCAAGTCCTAAAAGCCATGTCTGTACCAGTTGAAGGCAAGTTAGAATTAACAGGCTAAACCAATTAAATGAATTGGCAAAAGGGATGCTAGAAATTCAACTGAAGACCAGAAGCAAGTACATGTCCAAAATTAAAGGGGAGTCTCAGAAGTCATGGTTCAGTGCTGACACCATGGGGGTAACAGCTAGAGGACACAGCTTCATCTTCATACTAAAGAAATCACAGCCAAGTGTATGGGGACCTGACATCCTTGTGGAGATAACCTGTAGCAAACCAAGATGAAAACCTTTTTTTAGTTAATTTTCCTTAATGTATCCACTGTTCTCCTGGACTCTAATTTTATATTAGGGTACTAATGCACAAAAACTGACACATGACTACAGCCTCTACTTCTTTCTCCAAAACAAGATTCCCCCCAAATACCAGGTTTAAGTACACATACTGTATGGTATACATATGTCAGCTGGTTCTCAAAATCCATTCTGTGGTTGATTGTAATACAGGCATTGTTATCCTGGAAATTGTTTTTGGGAGTGGGAAATTTTCTTTTCAGGCTCTTTTCAATTGGCCAAACGAAGGTAACTCCAAATGGTAGCTATTAAGGTCTACTGAAACCCAGTCTGTGGCTACCTGTGTGACAAGGGCAAACATTAAAGTTGTTATCTAAGAAAGCTAGATGATGATGCACAGTGTCCAGTAGTTTCTCCTCTCCTTTGGTTTACGCCCTCTGGGTTGGTAGGCATGCATAGGTCAAAAATCAGGAATAAACACTAGGAAGACTGGCTAAAATCCTTCCCTAAAAGCGCTGGACTGTCTTAAAGGGGGAATCTAGCAATGGAATTTGAAGCTCCAGAGCCATACTCCTTCCATAGTGCCAAAGATTGAGCTGCTGCTCCTCCCTACCTGCTTCACTAAAGTGGCATACGATTGGCATTGGCCTGATTCAAGAAACTTCTCTTTCACTAAGAATCCTGTGGACTCACTTCCAAAGCCATAGCAGAGACTTGAGGCACTCACCTAAATGCCCACTGTATGAGCAGTTTTCTTTTCTCAATTTTATTCTTGTGACTGTAGAAACTTGGCTCTGAACTAAGATTATCCAAGCCAACAGTCCTCTGCTGTAACAGTTGTTTTCAGAAAGCTCTAAATGTGTCAAGGAAATACTTGTGCAAGCCTAGCTTTTTATTTGCTCATTTACTGGTCATAAAACACCTGGCTTTCAAGCCTAAGGAAACTACCTTGAGTGGGTATTGCAAATATGTGAAATTTTTGTTTTATAGGATAAGTATTTAGAGAAACTGTCTTGCCTGTATTCATGACTGCTTTAGAATCACTTTATTAATGATAAATAGTGCCACTCTTTTTTGATTACCCAATAGGATTTGGAGGAAGCAAACCTAGGTGTCAGCAAACTATTCATTTGACTATTATGGGGCAGAAGAGAAAACCCTTCGGGTGTATGGCTTCTGAAATTGCGTCATTTTGTTCCCTTTGCTCTTTTTTCAATCTCAAGGCCCAGTTAGGGTAGGAAAGCAGACACAATCTTCAAGTCTTTTTCCTGCTCCTTCCTGCAGAAGGTAGAAGGATTGTTTACAATTCCCACTATAATACTCTGTTGTTTAGTCGAGTCCACAGTAGTGGAATAGGTTCCTTAGGACCCAAGATACTGAAGCCCCCATGCTTTAAAGGTCAGCCTACACAGGAATTCCTCTACATTTATACACATCCTCTGGCTAAAGTAGTTGATGTATTTTTTTTCCATATAGAAAAAATATGGGCAGAAAACAAGGTTTTAGAAGAGCTGTTTGTGGTTGGAGCTCTATAAGAATCTTTTAAAGGGATAACAGAGTTAGTGGCTACTAATACAGCCACTACTTCAGCCCTTAAAATACTCAATCACCATTATGTGGGAAAATGGTTATTAGGCCAGATTTAAACTCATCTCTTGTCTAGAGCATTTCATGTCCGTGTGCTGCTTATGTTGTTTGTCTGCAAAGTGTCTTGTCTCTTCTAATCACTGCAAATAAAGCAATACTGAAAACTTGATAAGAGAGAATGCACCTTAGGGGAAGGGGCTTTAATGTTTCAAGAAGGAAGAGAAAGGAAAGACCTCTTCCTGTCTTTTGAGTAAATCCAGCTTTTAAGTCTCAGCTATGATTTACCAGGGCAGGTTATGACCAGTATCCACCCTCCGGATGTTGGCCCTCTGCCTTCTAAAGCTGTCTTAAGAGCTGAGGTTTGAATTGCGGCATCTGCTCAACCGGTGCCAGGTTCCTCTTGGCAGGGGAAAGATTACTGCATATCTTCCTTTGCCTCGTACTGCTGTGGCCCCGACTATCCCGCCAATCCTCACTCCCCCTACATGTGTTAGAAATCCATTATTGTGGATATTAAAGTAGCGATTACACTGTAAGCATATTTACATGCCCTTTTTGTCTGGTTTATTTTTCTTTTCATCATGTATAATCTGAATCCAGCATTAGTTTCTCACATCTTCCACAAGTGTCTCCAACAGAATTTTTATGTCCCAGCTTGTGTTAAATAGAAGTGAAATATTAAGGAAAATAGATTTAAAGGAAACTTGTGCAACTTTTTTTTAAGCATTGTTCTTTACCGTTTAATTTATTGAAAGGAGCTGCTGCCATGGTTCTTGATTTAGCAGCAGCCATTCTTGTGTTTACATAGAGTTACAGTTTTATTTGTTGTTTTGCTCTGTACTGGAAACATAAATAAAGTTTTCTACATTATTTTCAATCAAGGGTTGTGGTATGGTTTCTTTGTGTTTGTAGTGATATACACTTGTCTTTCTGGGGCTCACCATGAAGAAAAGAGAGCTTTGGGTTCTTGTCGGCCTGAATGGTCAGGTTAAGAGCTAGTATGCCGAGAAGGAGCCCCTGGGCATAAAAAAAGGTGGTAAATAAGATCCCAAAATACAGGCACCGGGTACTTCTCTCTCAGGTTCACAGAAGCAGTCCTCCACCACTGAACTCCATCCTCTGAAACAAAAAAAAAGGTGAATGGGTGTTGAACTAACTCCTAGAATCAAGTACAGATACTTTATTTAATCACAGGCTCTTCTAAGTGTCCATCAACTGATGAATGGATCAAGAAGATGTGGTTTGGGGCGCCTGGGTGGCTTAGTCGGTTAAGCGTCCGACTTTCACTTAGGTCATGATCTCACGGTTCGTGGGTTCGAGCCCCGCGTCGGGCTCTGTGCTGACTGCCAGCTCAGAGCCTGGAGACTGTTTCAGAGTCTGTGACTCCCTCTCTCTCTGACCCTCCCCTGCTCACGCTGTCTCTCTCTCTCTCCTAGAAATAAAATATAAAAAACATTAAAAAAAAAAAAAAAGATGTGGTTTATCTATACGATGGAATACTACATGGTAATGAGAAAGAATGAAATCTGGCCATGTGTAGCAACATGGACGGAACTAGTGGGTGTTATGCTGAGCAAAATAAGTCAGGCAGAGAAGGACAGATACCAAATGTTTGCACATATAGGAGGATTAGGAGGAACTTAACAGAGGACAGGGGAGAAGAAGGGGGGAAATAGTGGGGAAGAGGGAGGGAGGCAAACCATGAGAGACTCTTTAATGCTGAGAACAAACAGGGTTGATAGGGGTGGGGGAGAGGGGAAAGGGGGTGATGGGCATGGAGAAGGGCACTTGTGGGGATGAGCACTGGGTGTTATATGGAAACCAACTTGACAATAAACTAAAAAAAAAAAAAAAGTGAAAAGATGCCCACAGGAAATAAAAACACTAATTTGAATACCTATAAAAAATCAAATAATAATCGCAGGCTCTTCGCTTTATCCTTAAAAAATAACAATTTCCAAACTCCTACTAAAGAATCTTATTTCTTAAAACATAAGCTCTAGTACCAACTCAAATCCTCCACCATCAAATGGGTCAGCTGTTTACATTACAACTGCCCCAGTTTTTGGCTTACCTCCGGGGGCTCAATGAAGGCTAACCAATCTGATGCATGTGTAGGCAACAGTCCCATTGACTGGCACTTATAAACAGCCAATGCCAAACCCATGAGATTTCCAATGAGATATACCAAACCCTGCAGAAACTTCTGACTTGAACTTTCTAGCATCTTGAAAGCTGTTGGGATAACAAACCAAAACAAGTTTTTTCCCCCCCAATATGAATCAGGCCATTTATTAAAATAATATAGACAGACCCAAAGTAAGAGAAAATAGGACCATTAAAGGTGAATAAAATACCATAATAAGTTCCCTTCTCCCCTCCATTCTGCCACCATTATCATCCCCTCCATGTACCGCACCCCCCACCACTGGCAACTAGTCAAGAGCAGTACTAAAGATTTTTCATGAGTTTCACCTAAGAATATGTCTTTAATTCTTAAAACTTAAGGGAGGGTTCTTATATCAAAATACTTACTGGCTGAAATGGCCATAAGTGCTTGAATGGGCCGCCAAGCCATCATACACACCATCATAGTAGGGAAGATGGAGATAGTATTGCCTGCCATGTACATGATGAAGAGGTTCATGGGAATCTGTTTCAGGGGACCCAAGGCGATGTCCCAGCAGCGCTAAAACAAACACAGTTTTTTGTTTTTGTTTTTGTTTTTTTTTAAATATTTTTTATTTATTTCTAGGAGAGAGAGAGAGAGACAGCGTGAGCAGGGGAGAGTCAGAGAGAGAGGGAGTCACAGACTGAAACAGGCTCCAGGCTCTGAGCTGGCAGTCAGCACAGAGCCCGACGCGGGGCTCGAACCCACGAACCGCGAGATCATGACCTAAGCGAAAGTCGGACGCTTAACCGACTAAGCCACCCAGGCGCCCCAAACAAACACAGTTTTAACTGATGATCTCTATCCTCAGTCCCAGGTTTATCAGACCACTGATGTTAAAGTGAAATGAACACAATTCCCACTTCTGTGCTTTTTTTTTTTTAATGTTTTATTTATTTTTGAGAGAAACAACACAAGCAAGGGAGGGGCAGAGAGAGAAAGGGGCACAGAATTCAAAGCAGGCTCCAGGCTCTGGGCTGTCACCACAGAGCCCAATGCAGAGCTCAAACTCACTAACCCTGAGATCATGACGCGAGCTGAAGTCGGACACTTAACTGACTGAGCCACTCAGGTGCGCCCCCAATTCTGTGCTTCTGAGCTGACTCCTCAGTTCCACCACTTCTTCTACCCTTCTCCAAGTTGCCACAAGAAGCTTCCTCTTCCACTAAAGATAAGCATCCTCAACATTTCTAATTTTTTTCCCTATTGGTTTTCCAGATGTTACCTTCCCCCATGATCTAACTATAAAGAAAGACTTCCCTACTTTCGTTCTTGTACTTTTGCATCTATCATTGTCCCATCTACAACTGAAGAAACAGGTAAATAGGTGGGAGATAAGCACACCACAACCAGTAACTAAAAAAACAAACTGACAAATCAAGATACTGAAGTCCTGGGGGGCGCCTGGGTGGCTCAGTCAGATGAGCATCCAACTTTGGCTTGAGTCATGATCTCACAGTTCATGGGTTCAAGCCTCGCACTGGACTCTCTACTGTCAGTGCAGAGCCTACTTCAGATCTTCTGTCTCCCTCTCTCTCGGCCCCTCCCCCCACTCATATGCTCTCTCTCAAAAATAAACATTAAAAAAATAAACATTAAAAAAAACACATAGAAGACTTGAATGACACTGTTAACAAACTTAACCCAACTGACACATACAGAACTGTTGCACCCAACATCTGTAGAATTCACATTCTTTTCAAACACACTTGGGACATTTACAAAGGCTGACCACTTGGCAGAGCCATGAAGAAAGTGTCAACTCACAAGAACCCAAATCATACAAAGCATATTCTTTGCTTATGATGCAATTAAGCTAAAAATCTGTAACAAAAAGAAAACAAAACTCCCTACATGTTGGAATTAACATGTATTCTAAATAATCAACAAATCGAAGAAATTACAATAGAAAACAAATATTGTTAACAAAAATGCCACATATTAACACTTGTGGGACAGAGAGCATTGAGAAATTTATAACAAATACATATTAGAAAACTAAGCATCTATTTCTATTTTTTTTTTTTTTTTGCAAGTTCAAAATAAGTTTTTACTTAAATTCAAGCTTAGATTGTAGTATCAGTTTCAGGTATACATTATAGTGATTCAACACTTCCATAAAACCCCGGGTACTCCTCACAAGTGCACCCATATCCCTATCACCTATTTAATCCATACCCCCACCCACCTACCCTCTGAGTCTGTTTCTTGGTTTGCTCCCTCTCTCCACTCCCAACTTTGCTCACTTGTTTCTTAAATTTCATATATGAGGGACGTCATATAGTATTTGTCTTTCTCTGATTTATTTCTCTTGGGATAATACTCCCTAGCTCCATCCACATCATGCTCAGCATCTATTTCAAGAAATTAGAAAAAGGAATAAATTAAGCCCACGGAAATGAGAAGGAAATTAAAATGAGAAAGGAAATTAATGACATTTTCTTTAAATCAACAAAGCTGAAAGTGGTTTTTTGAAGATTCATAAAATCAATACTGACAAGCCTGATGAAGGAAAAAAGATATTCTACATTGTGAGTAAAAAAGGAACATCTCTATAGTTCTTGCAGCGTATAAAGTGATCATATTACAAATTTTGGGAAATGGATAAATTCCTAGAAGAAGTACCTAGTGGCATAATAAATTGAAAATTTAAATAGTCCTCAAACTGTTTAAGAAACTGAGTCTGTAATTAAGCCCAGATGGTTTCCCTTGGCAAATTCTAAATATTTTAGGAAAAAATAAAGCCAATCTGATACAAACTCTTTCAGAAAATAAAAAATGAGCATTCTGCGACTCATTAAATGGGGGCCCATAAAAATACCAAAACCTGAGACGGACATTATGAGAAAAGTTTATAGATCAATATTACTCCTGAACCTAAATGCAAAAATCCTAAAAAAAAAACAACAACAAAAAACAACGAAGGAAATATAGTAATATAAGAAGAATATATCACTATGCAATTGAGCTTATTCATGTTAAAAGAATAAATGGCTGTATCTGTAAGGAGTTCCTGATGTGTCACTTACATAAAAGATCACTTATGTGGGAGTTTAAAGATCAAACCATCCATACAACAGAACTGTTATAAAAGTATAATCATCATCTACCTTCAAAATCAGGCCATTTTAATAATACTTGCATGTTATTATTAGTAATATTACAATCTGATGTACCAAGATGAAAAATGATATACTTATCAAGAAAAGCACTGATACCAGCTGTCATTTTCATGTTATAAAAATCACTGCATTTCATGAAATGAAGATCATTTGGTAGTGAACAATATTAAGGCTAAGATGAAAAAAAGTGCCACGCTGCTTTCTAGCTATCGGGAAACAAAAATCTGCTCCCCTGGAGCTTACCAGAGTAAAAAAGACAGGTGATAAAGTAATTATATCATATATATGAATAATATGGGGAAGATATAGGAAGTAGGGAAGGATAAGTAGGAAAACAAGAGAGGAAGTGCCATGAGTAGGCTTCACTAAGAAGGTAATATTTGAGAGACCTGAAGGAGACGGGAGAGCAAGTCACAACGGTATTTGGAGGAAGAATATTCCAGGAAGAGGTAAAGAACATGTAGGAAAGTCTGAGATGGAAGCCTGCCTGGTATATTCAAGGAGCAGCAAGGAGGCCATTCTGACTAGAGTGGAATGAAGAACAAGGGGAAAGTGACAGAAGATGAAGTCACTCAGACTCCAATGATAAGATAATAAGTAGCAAACTTTTTTCTACTGTTTTGAGGATAAAGCCAAAAGAATAGCCTGACACACTGGTTGTGTAGCTGTAAGAGAACTAGAATAAAAGGATGACTTCAGCTGTTAGGCACTGGCACCAGCAGACAGTTTTCGACCTTCGTTCAAACATCTATTTTTCCAACTATCTGCACCTTTACTACTGTAAATTAATCTCAGTTTATCTACCAATACTGGGGACAATACAGTAAGATAGTCATATGCTGCCTGGGAAAGGAGGGTGCACGCGTAGGTCAGGACTGGCCCCAGGACTACTGTGACATCTATACCTCTGTACCTTCTCCACCAGAATCCGGTCTGTCTCTTGCACGCTGGTATCAGGCACTTGCTTGTCCAAGTAGCCCACAGGGTACAGCGAGTCTCCCTGGCCACCGCCCCGGTCGCTTCGGCTCCTAAAGAACCAAACCAAGAAACTAAGGCTGCAGCCTTCCACACTTCATATCACACACCTCCTGTTCTACTAACCATAGGAATTAGATCCTCAGATACACCTGCCCAGATTAGACCAAGCCCCATCGTGGGTTCGTCAGACCTTTGCCTATTATTGGGAGGAATGAACTAAGCATCCTTTGAACATTCGAAACCTCCATGGCAAAGAAGCCGCTAGCTCCCCCAGGAGTCGCCTTTATTCCACCTGTCCTTTTCAGAGAGTTGTGCCTGAAAGATCAGGTCCTATTCCTCTGCGGCAGTACTAGGGTGAAGTCTCTGTTCCCGAGCTTGGCCCCAGCTCCTCACCTGCTGCCTCCTCCAGGCCCGCTCAGCTCAATGGCCCACTTGAAGCGCCGGCCTCGGTTAGCCACCAGGCTCCCCTGGGCCGTCATGGCAACGCCCGCCACCAAAGCTTCGAACCTCTTCACTGAAAAGCCGGCCCGGGCCCCGACCCTCTGACGCCCGCTACTTCTCGGGCTTACTCTTCAAGCCCGCTTCCGGCGCGTAGCGTAAACGTCACTTCCACCCGGAAGTTGACGGACGGAGGCTAGAAGAGTCTTTGGCGTTGAAGAAGGTGGGTACCGTGAGGATTAGACTGTACTTAGCTCCTTAAAACGACATCCGAGCCCTTCCTTCTCTCCGAAGAGGTCTGTTGTGTGTTCCCTGACCTCTGAGGTGCGCTTTGCAGACAGAGGAAAGTCATACTGACTCTGTTAGGAATTGAAGCCAAGAAAACCTTGAGCTCCTCCGTGATCCCGGGAAGACAAGATTCAAATCTCTATTAAAACCTGAATTCACCACGGGTCGTGTGACCTTGAGCAAGTTAGTTAGTAGCTTCCGAGTATCGAATGTGCGCCGTGCCCCAGGAACTTTGTGTTTATTAAGTCACGTTACCCCTGCGCGGTAAATAGTTCTATGCTCATTCTGTCCAAAAGCCAGGAGGCAGTGTCGACATGGGAAGGTTCGTGGGCTTGAGATTCAGATGGCCTCCTTTTGAATCCTGGTTTCTTAATTATGTGACTTTGGACAAGTTAAATCTTTTGTGCTTCAGCCTCTTCTTATGTAGAAATTGGATAATCTACCTACTTTCCAGGCTTCTGAGGTTAAATGGAGTGCCTGCTATGTATGCATGATTTTTTTTAAATTAAAAAAAAAACACAATAGTGATTGGATTTTGTGCTCAGTTATAGCATAACGATAATATAACCTGATATTGGATTTAATTTGTTTCCTGTTTCTTACCCCTTTTATAATCAGTGTTGCTGTGAACATCCTTGTATGTCTTTTATTCCCTTAAATTCCTAGGAGCGCAGTTGCTGGAGCAAAGACTATGCACATTTTTAAGGAATTTTCTTTTTGGGGGGGAGGAATTTTTAAAAATAAAATTTATTGTCAAATTGGCTTACATACGACACCCAGTGCTCATTCCCAACAAGTGCCCTCCTCAATGCCCATTACCCACTTTCCCCTCTCCACCCCCATCAATCCTGTTTGTTCTCTGTATTTAGGAATCTCTTATGTATTGCTTCCCTCCCTCTGTTTGTAACTATTGTTTAGGAATTTTCATTTTAAATGCCCGCTAGCAAAATCGCGCCCATTTGCATTCCTCCAGCTTTATAATTTTTTTAAATTGGCAGTTTGAAAATGGTACTGTATTTTTAAACTTAACTTTTTTTTTTTCTTTGACTCCCACTTATTTGATATGGTCAGGGTGGGGATGAGGGAAGAGGAGTGAGGTGAGAGTGTGGTCAGGAGCTAAGGTTGAAAAGGGCCAGTTTAAGGAGTTGGGACCCTTGAGGATGATGGTGATCTGGAGACGCTGAAGATTTTCATCCCCACCTTGTTTTCTGATTTTAAAGGTACCATGTGTTCATAGTGGACTGTTTGGATAAGGTGGTAATTAGAAAGGCTTTTCCCCTTCCAATTCTCTAAAATGTTTATCTGATCTTAGGAAGACTCAGCGTGTGGGTTGCTTTCCTTTTTTCTACTTTTCTGCCATTATCTCTTATATCTGATGAACCTTTGAAATTCATCTCAGACTTCACAAGGGTCTTGGCCCTATTGGGCAATCTTCTTTGTCCCCACTATAATCTACACAGTAGCACTTACACATTGCTTTTGTGTTTGTTGACATTGCCTGGGCACACATCTAGCCCCTCTCTGGCTGGACCCTGCCCTAAATTCCTTGAAGGTAGGAGGTATGTGTTAATTATATTTGATTCCACTGCCTAGAACATGATGTATTGAGTAAATGTTTAGTGAATGTGAGTAAATTAATTGAAAGTAAATATAGTACAGAACTGAATATAGTATAATTACATTTAGGTGAAAAAATGTAAAAACTAGAAGGGAATACATTTTATTTTATTTTATTTTATTATTATTATTTTTTTAATGTTTTATTTATTTCTAGGAGAGAGAGAGAGAGAGAGACAGCGTGAGCAGGGGAGGGTCAGAGAGAGAGGGAGTCACAGACTGAAACAGGCTCCAGGCTCTGAGCAGGCAGTCAGCACAGAGCCCGACGCGGGGCTGGAACCCACGAACCGTGAGATCATGACCTAAGCGAAAGTCGGACGCTTAACCAACTAAGCCACCCAGGCGCCCCAGAAGGAAATACATTTTAGAATGTTACATATTATATCCAATTAATGGTTTTCATGGATTTTTTTTTTTCTTTAGTTAAAGCTGCTTTAATAATTGTAAAAGAGCACTTTTGGAAACATCGTCAGTCATTCAAATCATATTCTGTCCCTTTTATTTTTTATTTTTTTAATGTTTTATTTATTTCTGAGAGAGAGAGAGAGAGAGAGATAGTGTGAGCATGGGAGGGTCAGAGAGAGAAGGAGACACAGAATCTGAAACAGGCTCCAGGTTCTCAGCTGTCAGCACAGAGCCCGATGTGGGGCTAGAACCAGGAGATCATGACCTGAGCCAACCATGAGATCTGACGCTTAACCGACTGAGCCACCCAGGTGCCCCTATTCTGTCCCTTTTATTTTTATTTTATTTTTTTTTTTTTAAGTTTTATTTCTGAGAGAGAGAGAGGCAGCGTGAGCAGGGGAGGGTCAGAGAGAGAGGGAGACAATGCGAAGCAGCCTCCAGGCTCTGAGCACAGAGCCCGATGCAGGACTCGAACCCACAAACCGTGAGATCATGACCTGAGCCGAAGTCGGACGCTTAACTGACTGAGCCACCCAGGCGCCCCCTGTCCCTTTTAAAGTACTCTCCCACTTGCTATAAAAATGTTTAAACTGTAACCCAAATCGAGGTTGCTTTGGCTTCAGTAAGTTAGTCCAGGTCATTTATTCCTTTATCCTAGAAATCCTTATGGTGTTATTTGCTAAAACATGTTCTGAAGAACATGAAGACTGAGGTGAACATTGGGACTGAACTGAGAAAGTGTTCCAAGGTCAAACACACTTGAGGAAAACTGTAGATGATATTTTGCGCGCACACACCCTAGAGGGTCTCAGTGTGATTAATATAACATATTAAAGCCCTAAAAAATGGTTCAGTAATGAATCTTCTTTGTTTCCCATCCACCTAAATAAGAAGCCCCCCCCCTTTCCCCTCTTATCACACTTATTAACTTCCTATGGAGTCAGTGTTCCATAAAATACACTAGGGGCATCTTTCTTGAGCATGCTAGAAGTCTTGAGGAGAAAGATGAAGGTTCTCCCTGAAAAGCTCTGCTTGTTGCTATTTTAAATTTAATTTTTAATGTTTATTTTTGAGAGAGAGAGACAGAGCACGAGCAGGGGAGGATCAGAGAGACAGGGAGACACAGAATCTAAAGCAGGCTTCAAGCTCTGAGCTGTCAGCCCAGAGCCTGATGTGGGGCTCAGACTTATGAACCGCAAGATCATGACCCAAGCTGAAGTCAGATGCTTAACCAACTAAGCCACCCAGGTGCCCCTGCTTATTCCTTCTTTTAAGATTATTAGACTGGGGCGCCTGGGTGGCTTGGTCGGTTGGGCGTCCGACTTTCGCTTGGGTCGTGGTCTCTGGTTCGTGGGTTCGGGCCCGGCGTCGGGCTCTGTGCTGGCTGCCAGCTCGGAGCCTGGAGCCTGTTTCGGTCTGTGGCTCCCTCTCTCTCTGACCCTCTCCTGCTCGCGCTGTCTCTCTCTCTCTCCTAGAAATGAATAAAAACATTTTAAAAATGTTCTTTAAAAAAAAAAAAGATTATTAGACTATCAGAAATAATATGTCCTTTATAAAAATGGAGTTCCAAGCTTAAATTAAACTTGAGGTCTCAGGTTTCTTCTACAAATTATGTTTTGCAAGAAAAGTCAAGGAAGCCTAAATTTTGGTCCTGACTCTGAATGAACTCCACTTTGAGTTAGGAACTCTTGCCCTTAATTTCCTCATCTCTAAAATAAGGGACTTCTAGATGACTTCTAAGGGTAACTTCTAATTCTAAAATACATTTTTTTCAAAAACATTTTGCATATTATACTTCCCTAGACTTAGACAATATGATAAACACATAAAGGAGGAGTGGGATTTCAGATAACTTTTTTTAAATTATGCTTTCCCATTGTTCAGGTACCATTTTTGGATTTAGAAACAACATAAATGTTAGTAATATAACATGTAATAAGTAATAAAAATGACTTGTTTCCAATCCTAGAAGCATTATGGTTCTCTATCCTGGATTCACAGGAGAATCACCTGGAAGCTCTTAAAAAATCCTAATGCCTAGGCCACACTCCAGAGATTCTAATTCATTTGCTTAGGATAGAGCATGGGCATCTACAGTACACCAAGGACTAAGAACCACTGACCCAGAGCATTTTACTGCTGTATAAGGTTTGAACTTAACACAGTAATTCAAGCAAACAATCAGTAGTTTCTGAGAGCCTCCTTGCATGCCTCCCACTAGGCTAAACTTGAATAAGATAATAATGGAAATACTCAACTTGTAAAAATAAATCTTAAACTTTTTTTTGTGCCTTTGAACAAACATGATTTTAATTAAAGAAACTGAGAAAGCACACACCATGATTCCATAGGTCTTGTGAGTTGTCTCATGTGACTTTTATATTTGGACTCTACAGTTTTTGTATTTGTTTTTGAATCTCACCCCCCACCCCCGCCACCACTTTAGGGTTCTAAAGAAGCTCTCTCTTTCTAATATTTCATGCCATTTTCTGACTAGTTGCATTAGGGTTGAAACTTGAAAAGGCAATTTTTTATTTATTTATTTTTTTTTTAATTTTTTTAAGTAGGCTCCATGCCCAGCATGGGGCTTGAACTCACCACCCAGAGATCAAGAGTCACATGCTTTACCAGGGAGGTGCCCTGAGAGAGGAAATTTTTTTTTAGTTTGTTTATTTATTTTGAGAGAGAAAGAGCACGAGTGGGCAAGTGGCAGAGAGAACGGGAGAGACAGCATCTCAAGCAGGCTCCAAGCTGCCAGCACAGAGTTCAATTCGGGCCTGGACCCATGAAGCCATGAGATCATGACCTGAGCTGAAACTAGTAAGTCAGACAC